AACTGTTGGCGCAATTATTAGAAAATGGAAGAAGTTCAACACGACGGTCAATCACCCTCGGTCTGGGGCTCCATGCAAGATCTCAATCGTGGGGCATCAATAATCATGAGGAAGGTGAGGGATCAGCCCAGAACTACACGGCAGGATCTGGTCAATGACCTGAAGAGAGCTGGGACCACAGTCTCAAAGAAAACCATTAGTAACACACTACGCCGTCATGGATTAAAATCCTGCAGCGCACGCAAGGTCCCCCTGCTCAAGCCAGCGCATGTCCAGGCCCGTCTGAAGTTTGCCAATGACCATCTGGATGATCCAGAGGAGGAATGGGAGAAGGTCATGTGGTCTGATGAGACAAAAATAGAGCTTTTTGGTCTAAACTCTTGGGTACAACCCCAAGAACACCATCCCAACCGTGAAGCATGGAGGTATAAACATCATTCTTTGGGGATGCTTTTCTGCAAAGGGGACAGGACGACTGCATCGTATTGAGGGGAGGATGGATGGGGCCATGCATCGCGAGATATTCGCCAACAACCTCCTTCCCTCAGTAAGAGCATTGAAGATGGGTCGTGGCTGGGTCTTCCAGCATGACAACGACCCGAAACACACAGCCAGGGCAACTAAGGAGTGGCTCCGTAAGAAGCATCTCAAGGTCCTGGAGTGGCCTAGCCAGTCTCCAGACCTGAACCCAATAGATAATATTTGGAGGGAGCTGAATGTCCGTATTGCCCAGCGACAGCCCCGAAACCTGAAGGATCTGGAGAAGGTATGGAGGAGTGGGCCAAAATCCCTGCTGCAGTGTGTGCAAACCTGGTTAAGACCTACAGGAAACGTATGATCTCTGTAATTGCAAACAAAGGTTTCTGTACCAAATATTAAGTTCTGCTTTTCTGATGTATCAAATACTTATGTCATGCAATACAATGCAAATGAATTACTTAAAAATCATACAATGTGATTTTCTGGATTTTTAGATTCCGTCTCTCACAGTTGAAGTGTACCTATGATAAAAATTACAGACCTCTACATGCTTTGTAAGTAGAAAAACCTGCAAAATGTATCAAATACTTGTTCTTCCCACTGTACACTCAATTAGTATTTGGTAGCATTGCCTTTAAATTGTTTAACTTGGGTCAAATGTTTCGGGTAGCCTTCCACAAGCTTCCCACAATAAGTTGGGTGAATTTTGGCCCATTCCTCCTGACAGAGCTGGTGTAACTGAGTCAGGTTTGTTGGCCTCCTTGCTCGCACACACTTTTTCAGTTCTGCCCACACATTTTCTATAGGATTGAGGTCAGGGCTTTGTGATGGCCACTCCAATACCTTGACTTTGTTGTCCTTAAGCCATTTTGCCACAACTTTGGAAGTATGCTTGGGGTCATTGTCCATTTGGAAGACCCATTTGCAACCAAGCTTTAACTTTCTGACTGATGTCTTGAGATGTTGCTTCAATATATCCACATAATTTTCCTTCCTCATTATGCCATCTATTTTGTGAAGTGCACCAGTCCCTCCTGCAGCAAAGCACCCCCACAGCATGATGCTGCCACCCCCGTGCTTCACGGTTGGGATGGTGTTCTTCGGCTTGCAAGGCCCCCCTTTTTCCTCCAAACATAACGATGGTCATTATGGCCAAACAGTTCTATTTTTGTTTCATCAGACCAGAGGACATTTCTCCAAAAAGTACAATCTTTGTCCCCATGTGCAGTTGCAAACCGTAGTCTGGCTTTTGGAGCAGTGGCTTCTTCCTTGCTGAGCGGCCTTTCAGGTTATGTCGATATAGGACTAGTTTTACTGTGGATATAGATACTTTTGTACCTGTTTCCTCCAGTATCTTCACAAGGTCCTTTGCTGTTGTTCTGCGATTGATTTGCACTTTTCGCACCAAAGTACGTTCATCTCTAGGAGACAGAACGCGTCTCCTTCCTGAGCAGTATAACGGCTGCGTGGTCCCATGGTGTTTATACTTGCGTACTATTGTTTGTACAGATGAACATGGTACCTTCAGGCGTTTGGAAATTGTTACCAAGGATGAACCAGACTTGTGGGGGTCTACCATTTTTTTCCTGAGGTCTTGGCTGATTTCTTTTGATTTTCCCATGATGTCAAGCAAAGAGGCACTGAGTTTGCACCTCCAATTGACTCAAATTATGTCAATTAGCCTATCAGAAGCTTCTAAAGCCATGACATCATTTTCTGGAATTTTCCAAGCTGTTTAAATGCACAGTCAACTTAGTGTATGTAAACTTCTGACCCACTGGACTTGTGATACAGTGAATTATAAGTGAAATAATCTGTCTGTAAACAATTGTTGGAAAAATCACTTGTGTCATGCACAAAGTAGATGTCCTAACCGACTTGCCAAAACTATAGTTTGTTAACAAGAAATGTGTGGAGTGGTTGAAAAACAAGTTTTAATGACTCCAACCTAAGTGTATGTAAACTTCCGACTTCAACTGTAGATCAAATGGAGCGCTTCCTTTGCACAGTGGAGCCAATTCTAAAAGCTGGCTAAAGGAGGTAGATAAGTAGGAAGTAGACACTTGCCTCAGCTAGAGGCTGAGATACCAACAGCAGACCCACCCAAACTATGCTTTAAGTACATGCAGACTCCCTGTCTTTCCATGTCATTCCCTCCCTCACACCCTCCCTCCCTCCACCACTCTGTCCATCAAACCAACAAGGCCCCAGAAGTCCCTGTGCTCCATCAATATGCCGACAATGTGCCTCATTGACACACAAACATCCCATTAATCTTCATTTGTCTCATCATATCCTGCCATTCTCATGGAAATGGTCGCCTTCTCCTGTGTGTTGACAGTTTGTGGGTAGTGGTGGAGGGGTGCAACAGTGGGTGGTTCGGGAGCGGAAGCGGGGTGCCAGCCCAAGGGAGGGTCCCTAAAAAGTGCCACTACATTTGGCGGCTTGCATTTCCCATCACGGCTAATGTGATTCGCATTCAAATAGCGCCACCCCACTACCACCCCTCTGTAGGGGGGCAGGCTAATCTGATTTCTCAGCTGCCTGGGACCCCTGCTTCCTGACAGCAGCAGCAGGGTTTGCTTGGTGGGGCTGCTGGAGATGCCTGGGGTTTCTCATCCCCCCCCACAGGGGCTCGACCCCGAAATGCTAACAGAGCTTAGAGTGACAGGCCAGGCAGTAGCAGGGGAGGAGGAAGGAAGGAAATGGTCTTCAGTTGCTAGGAAGGCCAGGGAAGTGTCAATTCTCCACTAGTGGCCCTGGAGGGGACTTCCAGCTGTTCAACTATCCATAAGGGAGCACTGTGAGGGTCTCTCCCACCATGGGGTCTCTGTAGCCACCTGTCACATATTGGAGGAGCCAAAATGTCTGCCATAACAGCAGTGGGAGTAGAATGAAGTTCGCCCTAGGCACTGGACTAAAGGATATCTTTGGTGTTTTAGACTTACCTCAGTTTTAAGCCCCCCCCCCCCCCCCCCCTCCTAATCACTCCACATTCCAATAAGAGCAGACAGACGATTCCATTTCAGAAAGCAGAATATGTTCAAATAGAGTAAGTACATACATAGATGGGGGAGACAGGAAGACGGAAAAGAGGGAGATGAGGGAAGGATACAGAGAGAGAATGAAAAGAGGGAAAGATACAGAGAGAATGAAAAGAGGGAAGGATACAGAGAGAGAATGAAAAGAGGGAAGGATACAGAGAGAGAATGAAAAGAGGGAAATATACAGAGAGAGAATGAAAAGAGGGAAGGACAAAGAGAGAGAATGAAAAGAGGGAAGGATACAGAGAGAGAATGAAAAGAGGGAAGGATACAGAGAGAGAATGAAAAGAGGGAAAGATACAGAGAGAGAATGAAAAGAGGGAAGGATACAGAGAGAATGAAAAGAGGGAAAGATACAGAGAGAGAATGAAAAGAGGGAAGGACAAATAGAGAGAATGAAAAGAGGGAAGGATACAGAGAGAGAATGAAAAGAGGGAAGGATACAGAGAGAGAATGAAAAGAGGGAAGGATACAGAGATAATGAAAAGAGGGAAGGATACAGAGAGAATGAAAAGAGGGAAGGATACAGAGAGAGAATGAAAAGAGGGAAAGATACAGAGAGAGAATGAAAAGAGGGAAAGATACAGAGAGAGAATGAAAAGAGGGAAAGATACAGAGAGAGAATGAAAAGAGTGAAAGATACAGAGAGAGAATGAAAAGAGGGAAGGACAAAGAGAGAGAATGAAAAGAGGGAAGGATACAGAGAGAGAATGAAAAGAGGGAAGGATACAGAGAGAGAATGAAAAGAGGGAAGGATACAGAGAGAGAATGAAAAGAGGGAAGGATACAGAGAGAGAATGAAAAGAGGGAAGGATACAGAGAGAATGAAAAGAGGGAAGGATACAGAGAAAGAATGAAAAGAGGGAAAGATACAGAGAGAGAATGAAAAGAGGGAAAGATACAGAGAGAGAATGAAAAGAGGGAAGGATAGAGAGAATGAAAAGAGGGAAGGATACAGAGAGAGAATGAAAAGAGGGAAGGATTGAGAGAGAATGAAAAGAGGGAACGATACAGAGAGAATGAAAAGAGGGAAGGATACAGATAGAGAATGAAAAGAGGGAAGGATACAGAGAGAATGAAAAGAGGGAAGGATACAGAGAGAGAATGAAAAGAGGGAAAGATACAGAGAGAGAATGAAAAGAGGGAAGGATACAGAGAGAGAATGAAAAGAGGGAAGGATACAGAGAGAGAATGAAAAGAGGGAAAGATACAGAGAGAGAATGAAAAGAGGGAAAGATACAGAGAGAGAATGAAAAGAGGGAAGGATACAGAGAGAGAATGAAAACCCTTAATGCCTGCGTAGCACCAGGCCTCTTTTTCCCGGGTGTGTTTTGACAAGGCCCAGGCTCTGCCTTTGATCAGCACTCAGGAAGTTTCATTAGGAGATAGATGGAGGATAAGGAAGAGAAGGATGGGAAGCAGAAAGATAGAGAGAGAAAGAAAGGGAGAGCAGGAACTCTCTGCTGGTTCTACCTTATCTATCATATCAGGCCGGTTGGTTGTGGCCAGCACGGTGACGTCCCCCAGCTTTCTGTCAGGAGCTGGGCCAGGACCTGGTCCCCTACGCCACCAGACCCCAACAAACTGAGAGAGCAAAGGTGGAGAGCGGAGGGGGCGAGAGGAAGGGGAGAGAGTATAGAATGTGGGGGGGGGTTGATAGGGGAGGAGAGATATAAAATGTGTTTTAACCAAAAATGTATCTGTTCAAGATGTCAGATCCCAGCCCCCTGCACTGAGAAATAGTAAGGTGTTTATTTTCCATAGCACAGTGCAGTCTCTCCCTCCCTCTCCTGCTCCCCATCGCTGTCACACACATACGTTTGTTTTATCCTTGTGAGGACCAAACAATTGATTCCCATTCAAAATCCTGTTACCTAACCGCTAACCCTAATTCTAACCGTATGCCTTTTTCCTTGTGGGGACCAGCGAAATGTCACCACTTTTCCTTGTTTTACTATTTTTGTGAGGACTTCTGGTCCCCACAAGGACAGTAAAACAAAAAAAACACACACACACACACACTCTTTCTGTCTCTGTTCACAGAGCCAGCGGAAGTGCCACACGTCATTACCACAGATAAGGCCACAGAGGAACACAAAAGAGGCCTGTCAGTGAGTTATGGTCCTGGGAGGAATAGGGAGAAGGCCTCATGACAAAGAGAGAAATGTGCCATGGCTGCTTCTGCCTCTCATCCAAAGCCTGGTTTCTTTCTCTTGCTCTCTTGCTCTTTCATTCTCTCGCTCTCGTGCTTTCTCTCTGGACCCAACGCCTCCCTCCTTTCCTCTCTTCCCTTTATCCGTCTGTCTCCCTCTCACTCTGTCTCAGACTCTCTACTCTCGCTCTCTGTCTTTCTCTCTCACTATCAGATAAATCATTCCAACAGATTTGGGCAGTTATGGCAGGTAGGCTTGAAGATTTACAGGTGCTTCACGTCAAGAAAGGAAAACACAAAATATCACCCTTCCATCTCCAGCCCAGGCAGTGTCAACAGTTAAATTCCAGCTCATGAGCAATGAAGCCACTTCATTGATTAAATGTGGGAAGTTAAGACCAATAAATAACCTTTATAGATCACTGCTAAGTGCATTTTTCAAATGGCCAGTGGCCTGGAGATATGAGCTCTGCTGCAGTGAACTGACTGACTCCCCTGCATCAAGTCATTTTGAAAGGCAACTGCAGAGTCGTGGTCAAATAACTGCTTCAAATCCGGTCAATTCAGTAAAATCAGACATGGAACTCATATGAGAAGATCGCTCATGTAAGTTGGGCATTGTGTCAGGTCGAATACCATATCCAGTCCATTCCTGAGTTGACCCCCAACTCTTGATATGTAGCCTCTCATGCTCTCTCGTCTCTCTCATCTCTCTGCAGCAGACATACAGTGAGCAATATGTTTGGAACATCAACTCAGAATAAAATCACTGTCGCAATACATATAGAATCGTGAGAAACACAATACATATCATATCGGCACCTAAGTATCGTAATAATATCGCATCGTGAGATCCCTGGCAATTCCCAGTCCTAGTAAGCAGATAGAAAATGTCACCTTACATGCACTAATGGCAAAATGGTTTTGTTAAGAAAGGACACAGTGACCCATCCCAGGCCCTGTCCAATTAGGCTTGAGGGAAGGCCACGTTTGAACCATAGCTGGAGGGGTCTTTTGTCTGTTCCTTCACCACTGACTTTCAGTGGGGGTTTACCGGGAAGTACGCCTCATATTTGGCTTCCCCCATCTGCTGTGGTGTACACAATGAAGTGCTTGTTTTCTGCGGCCTGTGTCCTCTCTCTGTCCGTTTTTTCTTTTTCCTGAAGCCACAGATGTTCCCAGTGCCATCCCATTGATGCGCCTCCGGACAGACTGGCTCGTCTGTGTGTCAGTGTGTGTGTGTGCGTGCGGGCGCACATGCGTTGCTAGCAAAGCACTAGTGGACTGACTCCATAGGAACTCCACAGCTGGCATTACACTGGACAATAATTATACTGATAATGTAATTATTGTGGTACTATAGACAGTCAGTCATTCAACGAGTAATTGGGGAAAATACATGCTATTCAGTGTATTGAACTAGGCTGATGATTAAATGGTGCCTATCTTTCCCATTAATTTAGGTTTGATGCGTGCTTCCAGTTTTCAGAATAAGATATGTGCTTGCAAGCAGTTGCCGTGGTCATCAAGTCTGCAGTATTATGTTTATTAGGTAGAAAAAGTTTTGAACTTCATTTCTGAGACAAAATACCTACCTTCCTCTTTCTCCAGCAAGAGCGTCAATCTCATCAAAGAACACAATGGAGGGGGTGACAGCTCTGACCTAGTATAGACATATGTGAGAGAGGTATTAATATACAGTAGATGCATATACATTATACTGTAGAATATTAAAGCAATTTCCTCTAAGCATTAGTAGTCCTTATATTCCTAGTGTAATGGGTATATAATAGACAATGAAAGTTGGCCTGGTACTCACCTCTCTGACAGCTCTCTCAGACTCCCCTACAGATTTATTTAGTAACTCTGGACACTGAAAGACAGAGAGGGAAGTTGGTTCTCCTGTCCAGTGATTCATTATAGGACCAGGAGATTTCCGTACGAGGACCCTAGTTATACAGTAGGCTATAACTATTATTTAATATCAATATAACACTAGTAAACGCTCAATAACATTTAACCTAGTTAGCCACAAGCTAACTAGACCACTATTTCATATCTGACAGGAACACACCTCAATTAACAAACCACCACAAGCTAGCCCCACCACTATTTAATATCTGACAGGAACACACCTCAATGAACAAACCACTGAGAACCTTTTGACAACCCGCCAAGAAATCTCTCAGAGATTAAAGGGATAGTTAAGAGGTAGAGAGGAAGCGAGGGGGGAAAAAATATCATTAAGAAGGAAGGCAGAGAGGACAAAGGAGGTAGGGTAAGTAAGGCTGCTGGGGCCACTCTGCACCCTCCCTCCCTGCGAGGCGGATAAACCTCCACTCAGCCCTTCAGGATGCACTTCCTCCCCCTGCAATCCCCCCTTTTCAACACCTCTGGGCTGGTGGGGAGACGACACTTCAGCGGAAGCCCTTTTGTCTCCTCAGAACACGACAACACTGTGGAGACTGACACATTAATACCCCAGTATCTCTGTGGTGGTTGCCCAGGCTGAGGGATATGCTGTTCTGTTGATTTATCTAGCCAGCTACTCATTGGGAGGGATACATTCTATGTAGGTACATTTCTATTTGGCTAGAGAAACAGTGATATTGGTGTGTGTGTGACAACATGTTAATAGGGTGTTAGGGTTTTACTGTACACAACGCAAGTAGTATGCATCTAAAAGCATAGTGAAGCAAGGGGAAAAATACATCATGATTTTGTAATTGTAGAAGTATTAGCCAACTTCTTACTATTTTATTTTGCTTAAACATCAAGTGTAACATAATATGAACAATTTGGGTTAAAAACTTTAAAGATAATTTTACACTGCAAGAAGTCTTTAAAGGTAAGTTTTTCTGTGTAATATAACAGCCAATCTAATCAGGCTAGCTGACCGTTTCTGTCATCGCACCCGGCAACAGCTTCCAAAATAAGCGCCAATTAACAATCAGTGAACTGATCAATCAATCTCCATCAAGGGGCCTAGACAGAGCAGGGCGAGGGAGAGGGGTGGGATGAGGACAGCATAGGGGATAGTTGTGAATTGGGGTGGAGGGAGAGGAGGGGGAAGAGGGGATGGGGTGATGAATGAAGAGGACAAACATGGGGTCGGAGGGGTCAAGTGAGGAGGCCTGTAAGTCTGCCTCCAAGGAAGCCAAAGATTCTGAGGTCCTTGAGATAATCAGGGACATATCCCTTTGTTTTTTAACTGGGGTAAAGCCAAGAGAATGGCTGCCGATGGTAAATCACTGAGCATAGCTAAGTACAGTATGTTTTCAAAACGGAAAGATGCGGTGCTAGTTTTACTAGCTATAGTTGTAAATGTAAGTTCAAAATCCCTAGTTGTGTAAACATCAAAAGGTCCATGCTATGTCAGCCATAACAAAATAAACTGTGCTTGAAGGCAATGCACACCATGCAACTGCAACACTGACGCATTACAAAAGTATGCATTATAGGGGTGGGATTTAGGGAACCCTGTAGGTGTAGAAAGGTCTAAAAAGGACACTTCCCTGCCCGTACATTGACCATTTGGTGGAGAATGCAGGCAACAATCAAACTTAGAATAATCAACACCTTAATGGCAAGGAAGTTGAGTCTGCTCTCGTTGGCCAGAGCCTTGGCGATCATGGCTTGAAGCAGCCTGGGGTCCATGGAGGAATACTCCTTTAGGGGGCTGGATGCGGGTGAAGGCCTCGGGGTGCCTGAGGGGCCACTCCACCGCCTGCTTCAATTTCAGCTTCACCTGCTCCATGCCTCCCACATCCAACCAGTGAACCTGCAAGGGAAACAGTCTAACAGGGAAACAGTCTGCAAGGGAAACAGACAAACCCTTCGGACACAGCTGGGAACTGGGAGAAGAATACAGAGGTTTCATACACAATGGAAAGAGAGACATCCCCAATGGGCTGTAAAGGGTGGCAGTTTTAATGGAGCATGGTATCCAGCAGTGGTATGAAAGCTTCTTTAGAAACCTACTCAAGAAAATCCACGTTTTCCATGGTAGTTTTTCAAGTCAAAAGTAATATCCTTACTGTGGGCCAAGAAAGTTGTTGGTTCAGTTTGTCCAGTGTTTATTTCTCTCTACAGCTGTAATAAATCAATTAACCAATCAATCAATCACTGAAAAACTGTTTGTATTTTTGCTCTGTGAGAAAGATTTGGAATAATAGGCATACAGTACAAGAAAATGTTGAGATTCACGACAACAAGTATACGACAGGAAAAGTATTGGGCCAGATCTGGGCTAAGGGTGAAGCAGCAGACATTGAACGGAGCCAGCAGCTGTCCCTTTGACAGATGACGGGCCGAGGCGCACGACTCCAGGAGATAAAACAGATAAGGAGAGCAGGGGTTGGCCAGAGCAATAAGTCCCCCCCCCCCCACTTCATCAGTGTGACTTTTCCTCTCCCTCTCTCTCCCAGTCTAACCCCCCCCCCCCCCCCACTCCTCTCCTCTCCGCTCCCTCCCTCTCCGCTCCCCCCTTACTCTCCTCTCCCCTCCCCTCCCCCCCTCCCCCCTCCTCTCCTCTCCCCTCCCCCCCCTCCTCTCCTCTCCCCTTCCCCCCTCCTCTCCTCTCCCCTTCCCCCCTCCTCTACTCTCCCCTCTCCGCTCCCTCCCCCCTCCTCCTCTCCGCTCCCTCCTCTCCACTCCCTCCCCACTCCTCTCCGCTACCTCCCTTCCTCTGTGGTAACACATCCCAGGCCACCGGCGCCGTCTCCCGGGAACGGAGCACCTAATGGAAACCTGGCATCCGGCCACATACTGTAAATACCACATGCTGAACAATTTATGGAGAGAGAGAGATGATAAAGATGGTGAGAGAGAGAGAGAGAGAGAGAGAGAGAGAGAGAGAGAGAGACACAGCCTCCTCCTGCCAGAGTCTATGGGGTGTAAATCAATCAGGCAGCTTCAGGTGCCTCTACCCTGCCAGGCCAGCAGCAGATGTGCACAGTAAAGATTTATACACCTTTTCTCCCCCTCCCCCCTATTTTGTTTTGTTTCTGTTCAGGTTTTCTGCAGACAAAAGAACATAGTGCTGGCGTAACAAAAAGGCAACATTAATTGCAAGGTGCTTTTGTCACGAACATGGCGGATGTGGAATTAGAGGGCGCAGTTTGAGTCACACCTTGCTGTGTTGATTTTATTCCCCCTGCCTCTTTCTCTCTCTCCGTGACCCAGTTATTATCTTTTACTGTTGTTGTCTGAAGTTTACAAGGAGCCTCTCAGGGTCCCGGCTTTGATGGGGTTGCTGGGGAGGTGGGAGAGAAGAAGGGTGGGTGCGGCAGAGTTGTGGTGGGTACTTCTCCTGACAAGAACTTGGAGAGGAGAGGAAGTTGAAAAAGAGGAACAACAGAATGGATCTCTCGGCTACAGCTACCAGATCAAAATATTAAAAAGTCCGGTCGGCCTGAGAGAGAGGCGTGCTCTTGCCCTCTCCTCACCCGGGCTCCATTGGAAGTTTCTTATATAAATGGATTAGAAACAAATGTTTGCAGTCATGTGGATATAATCAAGTCGGAGCTCTGCGGCCGACCCTTCAGCTGCAGTACACTGGGGGAAGGAAAAAACTCAAGTCCCTATTTTGTTTCCAGGAACTGGCCACAAGAACTGAACGTCTCGGGGTGAGCTCAGTGCAGAGGAAGAGGAGGAGGAAGAGGAGGAGGAAGGGCCTTTCTTTTTCTTTTTGTTCTCTCACTCTCTGGCAGGAACCGACATCGACCCGATCTGCTTTCAATTAGTACTGGAGATGATGTTAGCCTCTTCCTGTCCGTTATGTCTTGCACATGCAAACTCCAAAACATCCTGGAGTCTCACCGCTGTCCCCCCACCTCTCCCTCCACTGAGTGTGTGATTCATCTCCGTTTCAGGAAGGGCAGCATTATGACCTGGGGGTCATTTCCATCCGATGCTTCCTCGGTTTAAACCCTCTGTGAAAACCGCACGTCAACAAAAGTAATTGTGGATCTGAAAGCATCTTCTCTAATGCACAACTTACTTAATGCCTCACTGTAATATTGACATAATACATTGACTGGTAGTCCAATGAGTAATTAAGCCATTTTTGCTCCTGAGAGAAGATATATTTCGATCCCTGAGGAAGTTTGTTGACGTTTCTGAACATGAGACTAGAAGACACTTTCCGTTGTGCCGGTGACATCAGCAGAGTTGTTGTTCCATCTTTTGTGTCACTCGATAAATCTAATGACGGTTAAAAGGACATTTTTATGCCGACCTAAAAGGGAAACCAAGGGGCCATAATCCAGACATACCTTAGGGACATCGATGGCGACCTGCCTCATGGCATTTGACCTCCGACATGGCCCACTGAAGGTCCTGGAAAGTGACCGTCACTGTCCCCATCAATTGGAGGTCCGATGGCTGGGAGCCACTGCCGAGAGCACGCCTCAATGCATTCAGCCCTGTAAAAAGACCAGAATGACATCAACATATTTGTTGATGTACCGACGTTTCCAGATCTCTAGGTTTAGGGTGGTGTAGAGAGAATAGTGCATGGTGGGTAATAAGAGAAAGTCAATTCTGAGAAAGAACATGATTTTGTTAGAGATGGACATTTTGCATGTCTAAGATGTTGTGATGATGTGTACAGTTACTAGGAAAGATGCCCTAGTTGCAGTAAGTCATGTTTGAAACATTGATAGTTATGTCCTGAGGGGAACATCAAGACTGTTGTTCAGCAATGCCACCTTTCTCAAGGCTAGTCTTCAGAGACAAGACATTTTCAAAATGTCAACAATAGGCTAAGCCTCCCTTTCCTCCTTTTACTAACGACAGGCCTTACAGTGATGGACAGTTTCCCACACAAGTCCTTGGCAGCCGCTCCATGACTCCAAACACACACTTACTTTCACACAGTAGAACTTTCACCTACCTCTCAGGCTCCTACATGTCGTGATGACGAATGCCTAACGAATGCCTAATCTCTAAATGAACGCTAGTTTCCTTCACTCTTTCAATTCAACAGGGAACATTGGACACGCATAGCAAAGAAGAAAAGCTGGAGAGGAACTTTAATTGACGCTTTATGTTTGAGATTAACTCTCTCGACTCGAGGCAACTCCGTTACCTGCTGAGTATAAAAAGGACACAAAAGGACAACGGTACTAATAAATTCATCTGTGCATCAATATCAGTGGAGGATGTTGAGTTCGTGTTGGGCCTTGCAGAATAGGGTCACAAAACGATGAGCCAGGGATAGAAGTAGGCCCTTGTACAGTCAGTCAGCATTCCAAGGGGCCAGGGTGATGATAGCTTATGAATAGGCCACATAGGCGCTAGCGACGAGACAGGGAGCACGCTAGAAGGAGGAAGGGAGCGAGAATAGGGCTTGACAATCATCTAGGCTACATTAGCATCACTGACAGGGTAGGATTAGAACAGGGATAAAGCCTTGTTTTCCGAGTGTGTCTCTTATAATACTGTGGGATTTGAATTCTGAATTGGCTTTTCTTGAAAAAGATTTCGGGAAATCTCAAAGATCCTCACAGTGCGTGTTTAATACAAAGGAGAAAGGGTTCTTCCTGTGGGTTGTGGGTAATTTGTCTTAAACAGTCTGTCAAATACATCATAGAAAAGGAAATAGATACATCTGAGTCCAGTCAATATGAGACAAGTGAAATTATGTGCAAGGATCAAGGGCAAAATCAATTCTGAATAAGGCTGGTTGAACTCTTTGTGCAATAGATAGTAGATACAAATATGACTGTGAAAATGCTGAATGAAAAGCTGCTGCTAGGAGTAAATCAGCCTGACTTTTAAAGAACCCTACCCCATGACATTGCAGAAAGATCTGCACTCAACTAGGCCTCCTGCAGCTCAGTTGGTAGAGCATGGCGCTTGCAACGCCAGGGTTGTGGGTTCGATTCCCAAGAGGGGCCAGTATGAAAAATGTATGCACTCTAACTGTAAGTCGCTCTAGATAAGAGCGTCTGCTAAATGACTAAAATGTCAAATGTAACTAGAGTAGCCTCCGCTCATAACCAGTTGTTTTATAGATTCCAAGACATGCAGGTAAGATAGCAGGCATTTGACGAACAAATTACATGGTGGCTGAAGGCATGATTACAACTGACGCACTGAACCCACAAACAATGTTTTCAGCCTCAAGGCTGAGTCTTTCTTCTCCGGAAAAACTCAATTTCAGCCCTCTACCCATCACCACCCTTCTCCTCCTTCCCGCCCCGTCCAAGCTCCAGTTAAGATGGCCCTAGCTCCAACTCAGCCTGGAGGCTTCCTCCTCTCCTCCAAGCTGGGGCCAGGGACTGGGGGGACTGGAGTTGGGGATGAGGGCCAGGGCAGACGAGAGGGGATTTACGATCAGACAAGACTGCATCCTGTTTATATTTTCCAGGATCCGAGGAGACTTAAAAAAGGGAGAGAGAGAGAGAGAGAGAGAGAGAGAGAGAGAGAGAGAGAGAGAGAGAGCAAGCGAGAGACAGCGAGAGACAGCGAGAGAGAGAGACAGCGAGAGACAGAGAGAGCGAGAGAGAGAGAGCGAGAGAGCGAGAGCGAGACAGAGAGAGCGAGAGACAGAGAGAGCGAGAGACAGAGAGAGCGAGAGACAGAGAGACAGCGAGAGACAGAGAGAGCGAGAGAGAGACAGAGAGATCAAGAGAGAGAGACAGAGAGAGCGAGAGAGAGCGAGACAGAGAGAGCGAGGGTACGTGAGAGGAGCCAGCCAAGGTCAGTGTGTTCCAGGTCCTGGGCCCTACCCTTGCTGCGAACAGTCTCCTCTCCTGTCTATTTGCCTTTGAAAAAGAAGCCCACTTCAAAGTGGGGTGACCATGAAAGCCTTCGCACCCTCTCACCTTACTGTTCACTGTCAGATGTGTTCAAGTGCTTCGTACAAAAAACTATACGGTTGTCTGTGGTGCTTTAACCCGAAATTGTCGACAGTATGAGAAAGAAAAGTCTGCACTCATAAGGCTGAAGTGCTCAAAAAGCCCAGAAATGCCATCTTCCTGGATTGACAAATGTTTCGTGCAGCTAAGGATATTGCTCTCGCCAATCGCTGGACACAACATGCTACAGTGGCTAAGGAATAACCTACTGAACAAATACACCTAAGGAAAGTCAGACCAACACATCCCTAGCTAATACTTAGTTAGCAAGTAGATTCATGAACCTGATTAATGTGGTATCCAGCCTGGAATCTGGATAGCCCAAAGGCAAAATAAATGTAATTCAACAATGTGACTCAAGCATTTTCGCTTCAGGGATTCTATCCCCTGGCTAGGCTTGGCTCGATCAGAGCACACATTTGGTTTAGTTATGAAAACATCCGATGCACTGTTAGGAGTGAAAAAAGAAGCAACATAACAGAATTTAATCTGAACCTTATGTGGACTCTCTTTTCTTCACTCCTTCTTTCCTGAATGCTTCAAATTCACCAGCAATCTGCGGGGAATTGAGAATTGGGGCCCCTCCACTTCCAAGAATGCGCATTTGCAAAAAATGCCACTGGACCCAAAATAGGTATGGGACGGCAATTACTTTTTATCATTGCTCAAATTGGCTTGGAGAGGAAGAGGAGACAAGGTGAACGTGAGGGCTGTGGCCTGGTAAGAAGAAGGAATGTTCCCAATTATCTGGCCCCAAAACAGGCCCTCCCCGACAAGGCCGTTTTTAAGGGTCAACTCCACCAGCCCTGGTCTCACCCTGGCCCTGAGCATTGAAAAGAAACAACCCCTTGAGTAAAAACAACAGCATCTTCCGATAGAACGTGAACCAAGTCCACATGGTAAACATATCGAAGACATTGGTGCATTCTACTACAACTAACATCATTCACAAATGACTACCTTGGATGAATTTGGGCAGTTAAAGCACACCGTTTTCAGCTTTGCTACAAAGACAGGCAGAGGAAACTGAGGTAAGTCTAGTAGAAGTGAAGTAAAGTTCCCCCTGCTGAACAACAGCAGTAAGTAATTTATGTAAGTGTCCATCTGCACTCCTACAACATGTTCCACATTTCCTTTAGACAGGAAAACACCCTCCAGAAGTAGCCTACTTAACACCACTCCCCCATCCCCAGGCAGTTGTCAGCAGAGCTGTGTGGGTCTCAAGCGACGTTGTCCTCAAATGAATTGTGAAACACTTTTGGCATTACACCATTAAAAAACAGGAACATTTTCATTACTCCGAGGGGCTTCCGGAACACTCTTTGCACCTGTATTTACAATACCCAACATCTGTTCCAGCGCTGAAACACTGCAATAATATGTGCTCTTAAACACACACACAGACAGAGAGATAGACAGACAAAGGGAGATAGACAGCAAGAGAGAGAGAGAAGAGAGAAGAGAGAGAGAGAGAGAGAGAGAGAGAGAGAGAGAGAGAGAGAGAGAGAGAGAGAGAAAGAGAAAAAGAAAAGTAGATAGGGAGAGGAGAGTAGAGAGCAGAGAGACAACGAGACACAGCATAGAGACAAAGAAAGAGAGAAGAAGAGAGATAGATAAAAGAACGAGACAAGAAGGAAGAGGAGAGAAACAATAGACAGAAAATAGGACAGAGAGAGAAAGATAGAAGAAGATAGAGAAGAGAAGAGGAAGAGAGAGAGAGAGAACGAGACAAGAGAGAAGGAGAGAAGACGAGAGACAATAATGACAAGAGAAAACAGAGACAAGAGAGAATAGAGAAGAGAAACAGAGAAGAGAAGAAACATAGAAACAAGACAGAGATGAAACCCGAAGAAGAGAGAAGAGAAAGAAGAAGAAGAAGAGAAAGAGACAGAAGATAGGATAAGAAAACAGAGAACAGAGAAGAGAAAGCAGAAAAGAACGAAGAGAAGAGAAGATAGAATAAAATACAAAGCAGAAAACGAGCAAGGACAATTTTCTTTAATTTCTTGAAAGAGAAGAGAGAGAGAAGAGAGAGCAAAGAACGAGACAAGTAGACAGAGAGAACAATATATAACATACCGAAAAGATAAACATAACGATAAAAAGACAGAGACAGAGACAAAGAACAAAAATTAGACAGCAAGACAGAGGAGCATGGAGGAGAACATAGAAACAAACACAGAGACAGTAAGAGAGGAAGACCCAAGAGAAAAATAGACAGAGAGAGTTTATAGACGAGAGAGTTATAGGAGAGGAGATAAAGAGAGGATTTGAAGAAAATACAAATAAGACAAAAGTACAGGACAAGGGCATCAAAGTAAAACAGTCCTCTAAAAGACACAAGGGAAATCCAAAAACACCCCTCTTGCACAATTTACCACGTTGCTATGGAAATTGTTTACCCACCAGACATCCAACGGAGAAAGCTAAGAAAAATTTTCCCAAAAGGGTTTTATGATGGGGGAGAACCATGAATGCCTGTTTGCAGATCTTAACCCGTTGCAAAACAAGAGCAAATGTAATACCAAACGAGGGCAACATATGGAAAGGGTTATTTGCAA